TTAGTACAGTCGCCACTGTGACCACAAATGCAAGTTTTTGCATACGATGATGACGGTTTTGAGGGGACTTGAGCTAGAGTTCGTCACGGCCACGCTGGCGGGAGAGTCGTCTGTAAAAACTTTGTGGTCACAGTGGTGCCTCTGCTAACCTTCCTATGGTGCATAAATGTACCTAGTTGGATGAATCTTATTGTAGCCAGCTGGCCCAGTGGCTAACACATCGGTCTGGAGTTTTAAGATTTTCTGATCGCGGGTTCTATCCCCACCCGTGACATGATTTGTTTGCAATTAGAATTGGATGATTCAAATATATAAACCTATGTTTTATAATCCAGGAACCCATTTTTGGCCAGTGTAAATTCTTTCAGAAGAATGTTTCTGCATTTTATCACCTTAGCAATGCGTTCAGAATAGTAAAACTTTTGTATTTTCGGTGCGTAATTAATCAAGCTACATTCAACATGTTGCAACATAGTCTTGCAAACCAATAATTAACTTATATGGTGTTCTTTTCAAAAATAAACAGATAACTATCATATATTATAAAGTAGCAACTAAGCTTGTCGAAATATAAACGGAAATATTCACTGCAAATAAACAATCCTCAGAGACCAGGTTTTGAGTGATGATTCTTGCATTAAACACTGACAAGTTGGTAATCGAGTAAATAGAAAATAAATGAAATATGGATTATGGACTACAAGCAAAATTTCACTGATTGTACCGGGAATCGAATGTAGACTAAAATGTTCTTTATAGCTGCTCACTCTCACCATCATCATTATTTTATTCATTTTTATGTGATCATCGGTAAACGAGTCGTTACATCCTTCAGCAGGTGAGCAGAGTAATAGTCTGTCCATGATAACTCAGAAGCAAAACACTGCGTCTCTTTTAAACATATATTTTGTGCCTGGGAGTTAGCATGTGATAATCTTCAGCAGTGCTGGAGAGGACACAGAACCACAACTAAGAAGAGATACAGGGCAGTTATCAGCTATTTTCCACTCAAATTTCATTATGTCCAAAGATAATGATGTGTTGAGTATCCGCAGCTTTCCAAAGCATGACCGAAAGATGGACACGTTGGAGACGGAATATCAAATTCTCAACAGTCAGCGGATTCTCGTGACTTGTGATGCTGCTCCTTTCTTCCTGAGAAAGATTTCAGAACGTCGTTGATTCATCCGAGTACTGAAGAAAACTATTCCTGCATCAATGATATTAACGTGAGTTGTAGCTGCTTCTCCCAGCATAGGTTTCAGTTTTGGGATAAATAACTTTCTTTAAATTTTCTCAGGTTTCAGCTTTGCCTTCGTTATACGTGTATGACACTGTCGCAACCTGTGCCAACATGCATACCTGACAGTTGGAGACATTAATTACCTAGAAAGGGAGTTGATGCATTGATATCAATAAATGTGCCATCAAAGCTCTTCATCTGAATTTCAAAAATGGTTACTTGACAGCACTACTACATCAGTAATATAAATGTATTAGTATCATCACTAACAATAGATATAATAATTTTCAGACATGTAACTGATCATGGTAATATCTGATCATACCAAGGGTGGGGATAGAACCCGCGATCAGAAAGTCTCAAAACTCCAGACCGTCGCGTTAGCCACTGGGCCAGTTAGCCACCATAAGATTCATCCAGCTAGGTATCTTACTGGGGCTAGCTGGCCCAGTGGCTTACTCGACGGTCTGGAGTTTTAAGAGTGGTATGGTTTGTTTACAATCGTGTCATTACGATTTCGTGAGTCATGGTAATATCTGTTTCATTATGAGGCAACAGACTTTCCTCAGGACTAATAATTTTTTATGTATCTTTACCTATATAATACAACTAAAGAGAAGATTTCTTGTTGTCGGTGTTCACCATATCTGCTTCTAAGTTTGTAAGAAGTGTTTGTGGAGTGAGAATGAATGAACAGAAGTACTTCCATCTCGTTGCTGTCTTTGGCTGACATATTTTGATATCTATCACACAGTACTGGGACCTCATCACAAACATTATCATGCAGTCTTCGTCTGCCATATTTACTGCAAGTTTCTTCATGGGGCCAAACTACATGGTATATCAGCAGAGGTTCATCCACTATCATATCTGGTGTCCCTGAGTCTACTGCCTGGACATGAATTTTTTTCAATAATGTGGCTTTGTTGCCCCTGCTGGAACTGCACGTAATTCATACACGAGCACTTGCGACAGGCTCATCCTTTTTGATGCCCAACGACAAAAGTCTACCATACATCAAATTCTTGTTTTCTACCTTGGCTCCAGCTATAACAACTTTCTTTAGTTTCGATAATTTTCACATGTCGAGATATTCTGTCATGAAAATATTGATGCAAGCTCTTTTTTTAAGTATATTCTTCCTCTGTATCTAGTTGTCAAAATATTAGCCACATGTGACAATGAGCAATGATTCTGGGTATAGATTTTTCTCTTAACATTTGAATCACAGTACCATAAACACTGCTCAGCAGAAAG